AATTGCAGAAATAGTGTCGAACCTGATGAACGCTTACTGTTTCCTTCAGCTTTTTGATGGTCTTGTGGTGAGTCTATCAGCCTGGATTGTGCACTGAGTAAACATATGGTGCAGTTTGATGCCAAAATCAAGTGTTTCTCTCCATCTTAGTGTGTGTGCACTGGAATCTTCTTGGGCACGGGCAAACAGAAGATCCCAGCTGTGGCGAATCTCATTGGCTACTACTGCATAGGGCTTACTCTGAGCGTGACTTTGATATTTGTTGCAAAATTGAGAATTTTAGGTAATGATGTAAAGGAACGTATTATGCTGTTTTTATATAATTTCAATACAAATTAGCTTTTACACAAAGTATTTTGTTTTTAAATGATTCATTTGTCTTTTCTCTGCAGGCTTTTGGCTTGGACTGCTTATTTGTGTTGTCTTGCAATCCACCTTTTATATTGTTGTCATCTTCAGACTGAATTGGAAGAAAATGACAGAGGAGGTATTCCAATGGTCATTTAAAAAAATCAAGCCATGCATGTCTTCTGCAACACGTAACAGACATTTGTTAACTTAAAGCATCAGGCTGCAGCAACAAAAACGTACAAAAACAGATGTTTTATTATGATTTTCTTTTTTCCCAGGCTGTGAAGCGAGCAAAGAAAAAAAATAATATAATGCTATTAGTTACAGATGTCCTTTCAGAACATGTGGGAAACATCACTAATGTCCTAAACTCAACTAATGAGGCTGTAAGTGTCCTGTTAATAAATTATTTTTAGGCAAATGTCTAGAATCATACTTTTACAGCTACATACTTTCATTTGCTCTTCATCTGACTTCACATAATAAATTAATAACTTTTTTTTCTTAAAGTCAGTAGATGGCTACATGTCTGTGATGATGGAACAGCATGACATAGACAGTGAGACGAAGCGTGGACATGTGATCCATCGACAGAAAACTGGCCGTCTCTCCACAGCCCAGCTGGTCGTCAGACGAGGATTCACCTTGTTTGCAGCCGTGGCTATTCTCGCTGTTGGAGCAGGAGTTCGTATCCTAGTCCCCTTGCCAGAGCCCCACTCTGCAGAGTCCAACTTCACAATGGACTGGATCAATACAACTGCTGCTCCTGATCAGTTTCTTTCCACTGTAGGATGAGAGCGACAACATTCCTGTAAAACACCTCAACTCACAGTCCTGTGTGTAGCAAAGAGCTTAATCGCTGTAGAGATATACATGCCTGACTTTGAGATTGTTATAACATTCAGTTATTTTTCTGATAACTGGAACTAAGGTCCTTCTGTAAAAATGTCCCTGAAAGGAAAAAAGGAAAGTCCTCTCCCTTGAACAATTGAGACATTCCACCCCTGTTTCAGACCCTGGGACAGTTTAAACCTTGTTCTCAGCATATCTAACTCTAGAAAGTGTCAAAAGAGACTTTTATGGTTTGCACAAACAACCAAAGATACTCGATCAATCTTATAATATCAGAAATCCTTTCTGTGAACCAAATAATGGATGTTTGAGTTAACACAGGTCACCCAGGATGTTCTGGTATCACCTTGTACCAACCTCCAACTATACTACTCTTCAATGATCATAAATCACAGAATGCTAACAGAAAAGCCTTGTCTCTGTTCAAAGGAATTCCAGCCAGACACTTAGGTCCCCTTTTCTTCATGCAGAAAACTGACAGACTTTTATTCACATTCTGGAAGAAGTAATAATGTTTTTCTGTAATGAAATAATTGTTTACTGGGAATAACTAAATAACTTACCATGTGTGTTTCTCCTGCAGCTGACAAGAACCTCTAGTCAAAAGTTTGCTAACTTGTTTTCTGTTTACAAGGTTAACAAAGTGTCCTTATTGGTTTTAACCTCATTTAAAGTAGATAAGTGTCTTAAATATTTTTATTTGATGACTTTTTCAACAGAGCAGATTAAAATAATACTTTAATTAATTGATAAAGTTCAGCCCTTCCATTCTGATTGGTTCAAATCGACCACCTCTTTCAAATTAGAGGTGTGGTCGATTGTTTGCAAGAGAGGAAAACCTCTCAGACGAATTTGGAAGTTGAGGAGAAAGTTGCAGGAGAGAGAAGACAAGAGAAGAAGTGATGATGACCTCTAGAAGAGGAGAAGGAGTACGCTTTTAAGACACAACCTACAAAAACTTCCAAGAAAAAAAATTGTTTCAACTTTAGCAAAGTTTGATAGAACCCTCTTCAGCGCTCCAGACAACTGCAGTTATCATCAACAGAGTTAACAACAGCTGTCCAGAACTCCAGGAGACGCCCCAGATGACCATTAGAGCCAGTGACCAAACTCAACGCATTGGTGTCAGGGATGTGAAGGGATTTCCACCTTTACATCAAAGATCATCGAAGACGACTCCTGGTAGGAACAGCTGATTTATATTCTGAAGGTTGACTCTGGTGTCTAAGAATTTAGATTTTAGCCAAATTAGTATTTACTCAGTTCAGTAATTATTTTTCCTTAAATCTCAGACCAAATTTTAACTATTGAACGATAAAACGTCTTTCTTTTAGTTAAATTTGCATGATTAATCTGCCTGTTGAAAATTCCAATTGTTCTACATTACATCTTGTTTTGGTTTGGGTAAGCGCATAAAATAATTTCATTTATCTGTTAATTCCTGCTAACAAGCAATTTTAAAGGTCACGTTAATTTCCATAAAACTTCGGTTGTGAACAAAGCCTTCATTTAAATGTCAGAAATAATTTCCAACAGTTTTTTTTATCATATATAGTCAAATAAACATAACAAAATTGTATTAAAGTGTGCATGTTTTATTTATGACATCTGAATCCTTGATATAAAATAATTCACAGTGTAAAAAGGGTAATTCGAGGTAATTAAACAATAACATCTGAATTGATTTTCAGACCTTCAGATTTTCTCTCAGAGCTGAGAGTGGTGCCCCTTCAAAATAAAATTCATAACAAATTTTTAATCATTATTAACCCTTCCCATTACACCACTAAAACCCCTTAGAGTCAAATATTTTTCTCTCTTAGAAACTAAAGCAAAACTGGATCAGTCATTCATTTTCATATATACTGTATTCTGTTCGGTTAAAGATTGTTTCACAATCACAAACATCACCGGATGGTGATCAGAACCATTTTGCATTTTCAAAACCTGCTTATCCTGTTCAGGTCACCAGGGACTATAGTGCCCATCACCAGCAGTCAAAGGACAAGAGGAGGGGTAGCCTACACCCTGTCAGGTTGTCAGTCAATCACAGAAGAAATGATTTATACACATATGCTCATTCCTATGATCAGTTAGCCTAACATACCTGCTTATGGACTGTAGAGAAAATCAAACACAGGGAGAACATGCAAACCCCACTTCTGGTTTAATCAGTAAAATCTTTGTGCTGCTTTAGTGTGAATTTCTGTGTGCCTTTAAGATTTGGGTTCTCGACAAGCTCTTGCTAAATGACTTGGCTGAAGTCTTCTGAAGAAGCTAAAACTAATCAGTTGAAGCTAAAACAAGCAACTAGTTGAAGTTGAAATAAGTAAAACAATAATTTAGGAGAAACAAAGCAAAACTTTGTCTATGGTAAAACACCACCAGTCTATGGTGAAACACCACCTGTCTATTTGCTTGTGCAAATAGACCGTCAAACTCAGATTTGTCTCTTTGATTATTCAGACCACAGGCGCTAACACTTGGCAGTAATGTAAAATAGTAATTCATTGTAATGTTAGCTGTAAAAATTAATAACTGAATTTTACCATATGTAGAAGTGATACCTGAATGATAATTACAAATTCAAAAAATTCAAATTCAAAAATAATTTATTAATCCCAAAGGGAAATTAAGTGATGTTGTAGCTCATCATTCTAGTTTCATTCAAGAGTTGTTATAGGTGCTGATAGTGGTGGGCAGGAAGGATCTCCTGCAGCAAATCAGAAGAATCTGGCCACAGATACTGATCCACCTGGATCCAGCTTGCTGTTAGATCTGGCGGGCATCTTGGTCCTCCTGGGGAGCAGGACTGCCCGAATGCCGGGCAGCATTCCTCCCTGAGTGATGGTCACTCCTCCCAGCAGTCTACAAGCTCCTCGTCGCCATGGACTGACAGCTGAAGGTGCTGGGGGATGATCCCGGTCCTCCCATTGTCACGAGCCGAGGTTCCCACCAGCTCCAGGATCTCAGCGGTCAGGTACTCAAGCACTGCCGCCAGGTTGACGAGAATTCGTCCACGGCGCCTCCTTTTCAACTCATTTGCGATTTGGGGCTGTAGTTGAGGTATTTGAGCTTTTGTGATGTTAATCATCTGCTCCTGGTTGATAGAAAACACCTTGTTGCCATGGTTATGCATCATAACAAATGTCCAAAAGTAAAACTGTTTCAGTAAAAATCCTTCCGGCTGCACATCATCTGATACCAGAAATTATCATCCGAAAAAAGTGATTTGCATCCAGAAAAAAAAGAAGAATTAAAGTTTCCAAAAGCAATATCCCAGAATGAAAGTAACAGCGCTACTCCAACATGCAGCCACACCGAGCAGCCCAAATCTAGAACAGAATTTGACACACAAGATAGTTTTAAAGCTAATTAGGTGCTTGTGTTTGTGCATATTTATCAATGCAAAGTTACTGACTGGATGCAGAGAGTTGCCCTTTTCTGATGTCACGTTTATTGTGCGACATGCTCCAACATGCTGTGCACAAGTTTGGCATAACGCTAATGTTGCGCATAAGCTCTGCATAAGTTAAGGTGCTAATAGGCTAGAAATAAGCTACGCACATGTGCAAAGTTACTTAGCTGGTTTTCTACTTATGTCAAAGTAGAAATGAATAACATGTAAGGGGTGTGAACTTGTGCATAACTTACTTATTGCATACCTGTAACTTACCCCTAATTCATGCCACTTACACCAGCGTGTTTGTCTTTTTGCTAAATGTCACTGTGTGACAGGGCCTTTAGCAAACACAACAGTAGCAATAGCTTGGTCAGTTTTATAGACGTTGAGCTAAGATTTGGTGTGGTAATAGCTGAAAGACTTTCTCAACACATACTCTGAGCATTAACAGATCATACAAGATACTTGTTTTAAGCTTAATATGCAAGGAAGCAGGTGGTATGCGTAAAAGAATGCTAGTTTAGTTTAGTTTCGGTAATAGGTTTTGTCACAAACATCAAAGTCAAAGGCAAAGTTTCTTTATTTGTTGTTCCACCACATGTGGTACATGTGGTGGAACGAAATTGTGTACACAGGGTCCCAGTTACATCCAACAAAAATATAAATTGTAAAGAGAAACAGCAGTAAGATCTAAGATATGTACTAAGAAATATGTTAAACTAAGAATACACTAAGCACTAATAGCACAAAAACAATACGCCGAACAAAAGCAGGACGAACATGAGTCTGTGTGAGCAGGTGAGTACTAATGAACATAGCAGCATGAAATAAATAAATCAGCAGGATAAGATCAGCAATATGGATCGTGGATATCAGAAAGCCTGAAAGAACAATTTGCCAAATCAAGACAGATTGACAATAAGTATTCAACTAGAAAAAAAGTGTTGAAAAATTATATTCATGGGCAGATACAAATGAGAGAGAAGAGCAGGAGGTAAAGTTGTTGATACAAGCCAGAGCCAAAAATAAGCAGAGATACGATGCTTCTTCCTGTAGACTCAACAAACCCAAAGGCCAATACAGTGTTAGGGAAAATAATAAGTGACCGATACAAATCACTGGCATGCCGTCTTATTCTTGCAGCTGGATTGATTTAGCCAGCATAAAACCCAGAAGGTTTGTGTTGTCACACTAAAGGCAGCTCAGCCCCTCTCAGACTGAC